GACACAGAGTTGAGAGTAGATATCGAGAGTTTCTCTCAAGTGGACACCTAGCTTAATAGAGACAGAGCAATATAAGATATAAGATATACATAAGATTTTGACCAGTGGGAGTCCTTCCTACCTGACAAACAAAATAAGATATCGTTGTGATGTGCACAATCTAAATGCGAGGTTCAGAGGTAGAATTTCTCCTCCTAAGTATAAGTTGTCACTGTTTAGAAGATCATTCACGTACCAGATTTGTGTACTTTACAACGATTTGCCTGATGACCTAAAGATGTTATCTCTCAGAGCCTTGAAGTCTATCCTTGTCAACTTGCTAATGAGAGATCAATAGTTTTTTCTTTTATTTTGATTTTTTTATTTAATTTATTTTTATTTGTATATGGTGTGCCATCTTTTACCCCATTTTACCTTCTACCTTAACTATTCTTGCTTGCCGTGACATTGCTCACTATCTTGCGTTTTGCTTTGTAATAAAATTGTCGTTAGTGGGTTGGGTGCATTGAGGTCTTATATATAATCTAGAGTGTGTATGTTGTTGTCCCCCCCCCCCACGCCTAAAATGAAGCCAGAAAGGTCGCCATGTTAGATGTACCAACTTAGCGGGAAATTCAAAATTCTTATACAGCTGTCTCGCAACGATTGTACAATACTGCATCAGCGTATTCTCTGATCGAAAACAGACAAGAAAAGTCTAATAAACATAGGTCCGAAAATGGACCAATTTCGAGATATTCAAAGTTTTAGTTTCATAAGCTGACCTATTGTAAACATCATTAATTCTAACGATTTAGATGCAGTAATTATATGATTACCATGGTTACGATGGTTAAGATAAAGTTTAATAAATAATAAGATAATATTAAGTTAATTAATACAGTTCATTAATAATTTAACAAAACAAGTAACAAAGATTGTCGAAGAAAATCGTTCGACCAGCATAAAAACAACGAATATTTAACAAATTGGAAAAGATTCATGTCATAATAAATGTTCAATATGCGCACCATTTACTTTTAAACACAAACGGATACGTTTTCTAAATGAACTTCTAATGCGTTCAAAGATACCAGGAATTTGTTTTACTGTGTCAAATGCGTTACTAATTTTATTCTTCAAATCCTGCACATTTTGAACGTCTTCAGAATAAACAATTTGTTTTAAATGTCCCCAAAACCAAAAATCTAACGGATTTAAATCTGGTGAACGAGGTGGCCATCCTCGGCCAATCCACTTATTGCCAAATCTGTTATTTAAGTATGCTCGAGTAGCGCGTGCATAACGTGCTGCTGCTCCATCGTGCATAAAGTAGCAATCTTCTAGAATTTGTTGAGGTAATTCATCAAATGCCTCTGTAAGGTCATTTTGTAAAAATGTATGTAGGCATCGGCTGTCAATCTCTTTGGAAGAAAAAATGGACCTAATAACTGATCACCTATAACTCCAACCCATACATTAACACTGAATCGCCTGATTAACTGATGATGAGTTTCTAGTATTGCATGGGNTCATCATTTTCACTCTAGTATATGTGGTTAAATTTGTTCCCCGAGTCACCGAAACACCCTGTATACTTATGCAAGAATTTACATTATTGTAAACTAGAAAGACTGAAAATAATAACTAAAACATTAATTTTTTATTGATAAATAATTATTAATTATACCGGGTGAGTCGGTTGGAACGGACCAAACTTTAGGAGTGTGTTGTACACTAAAATATAATGTACAAAAACTGATATGTCCTTATCCGATTTTCTTTTATTTTCTTTTTTTGTTATTGCATAACTCTTACTGCATAACTACAATTAAACAAAATCTTATACATTAACATTAAATATTGATCATCGGCGTTATTTTAATAATTGTTCGAAAATATTGCCATCAACTTCTAAACATTTCCGGCTTCGTTAACTAAGAGCTCTTGTCAAAAATGAAAAAAAAAATTAAAATCGGATAACAACATATGAGTTCTGTTACATTATTTTCAAGTGTACAATACACTCCTAAAGTTTGGTCCGTTCCTCCTGGCTCACCCTGTATAATATTTTAAAAGAACTTAATAATTTTTAACAATAACCCTAATAATTAACATAAACTAAGAAGAAAATATTGAAAACAATTCTGATTGATCACGTTAGTCTTTTGCTTATAAACAATTGTTAGTTTATTTTAAAAGAACTGAACATTCCTCAATAATAAACTTTACTGGAACTTCATTGTTAATTTCAAGTCAAGTAACTAGAAACATTTTATGGACTGTTGTAAATAATCAAAAAGATTTCGAAAACCATCAACAAAAATAAAATTTTAACAAAAATAACAATATGTTTATGATAATTAAGATTATGATGTGAGGTTATAATTGTAGGTACATACAATAGACCTTTGAAACTATAGCTAAGTTCAGGTCGGTACATCCAACATGTCTGACTTTCTGATTACCCCATAGACAAAGAAAAGAATATAGATTGCGCTTGTTCCTGCGCGTACGAAATAAAACTTAAGAGTTTTGGTCGCGGCCATTTTTATCCAATGTGACTGCAACAGGAATATATTAGCATTTACCGTCTTTCTCTATTTAGCAAAGCAGTTGAAGCAGGTCCGTAATAGGAATTTGTAAATTAATTTCCAAGGTAATATTCACACCATTTTAGCACTTAGAAATTGGAAGTATTTTCGTTCTAGGATCATTTTGTAATAGTAAAACAAAGAAATGATTAGTTTCGGTAAGCAATGGCGGTCAAAGTATTAAATAAGATATGAAAATAATAAAAATGCCTTTTATTTCCCTACATTGTCAAAATTTATTTTATTTTTGTTAAAAAAAAGGATAAAAACACGAATTACAAAAAATAGCATAAAAAACACGTATCGTAAGACTTAAGGCACTCATTCCTTAAAAAACTAGTGGCTTAGCTACTCGTTTTTTTACTTGAATTCGTGCATTTCAGGCGTGTTTTACGAAACTAGTTTTTTAATATACTATTACATTTTTCAAAGAAAAAACCTTATTGTTTTCAGGTAATTTTTTTCTCACTTTATGCAATGCTTTTATTTCAATATTTTATTCCATTATATCAACATATTACATNAAAAACACTTTAAGTTTACTAATTTACAGTTTGGCAGATTAACATTGACAGGAAAGCAATTTTGTTTTTCCATGGCAGTCTTTGTTAGAAATAAAATTGTTTGAAATGGATTTTTATCAAAGTAGGCCGAACATTCTGAAAATTTGCACATGGCCATAGTTTTTCATTCTGAACAAAACTTCTTAGTAACACTTTGACGTACAGTAAACAGAAAAGGTACTTTACCTGCCACAAAAAAAGTTTTTCTTTCACTGTCAAGACACACTCGTTTTTTTAAAATTGAAAATATGTTCAAAATTAGTCTTTCATCAAGCAGAGCTAAACCCCAAAAAATTACAATTAATATCGAAAAAAATTTACCTTTTATAAGAGTCGTTTCACCTATCCGGGGACACACTGTATATAAGACCTCAATGGTTGGGTGTGAGCACATTTTTGATGTGCCATCTGGCCCCACCTCGCCTTACATATTTTATTTATACATTATAATTAACTTTATTTAATTCAATAAAAGGCATTATTATTATTATTATTAATTAACACAGGCTGTAAAAGCCTTCGTACTTATAAAGCACAGAATGTTTCTAAAGAATCTACTAGATCTAAATTTCTTCTCCAACAACTCAAGAGATATCACTACATCCGTTATTTAAATCATTATAAAAACCGTATAAATTAATATCATTGAAATAAATTTTATATTTGGTGGTTGAGGATTAAGTTGTTAAATAATGGAAACTAAACAATAAAATAGGCCACAAACAACGTTCGCCACAACTCATAATATTTCCAATAATAAAATCAATCAATACAGGAGTTTATTTCAAAATTTGTTGTTGTATCTTTCGATAGAAATTTTTTTTATGAATCATTTAAAGGGTGGTCTTTAAAAAAAGCAATTAAAATGGAACGGGGAGCATTATTTTCAAGCGTAATCAGGTCCCGAGCCGTGGGTATTAAATTAAGTCGACCGGGAAGTCGATGAGGACTCGGGTCCGGTCATAAATAAAACTTGTGAAAAGCCGAACATCAGCTCGAATTTTCCAGAGAGACGTTTCCTTCGTTACGTCGTAATTTACGGCGGCGCGGCCGCTTAATCCGGCCTCGTTAATACTAGTTTAAATTGATGCGACGTCGTATATTCTTATGAATTTTTTAATTACAACGCTGCCAAAAAAAAATTTTTTTGAGCTTATTTTAAATTTACCGTATTTTCAATTTAACATTTACATAATTAAATTTACAAAATTTGAAGAGTGGGTACAGCAAAAACGTTTTCGCTCGTCGATAATGTGTTTATTCAATAAACTGTTGGTTTAATTGAAAACGTTCATTCGATCGTATTTTGAGGAAGGCGTTTTTCATGTCGCGCATGCCAATGCACCTGGCGAGATAATCTGGGGCCCGAAATAAAACCGCGAAAAGCTTTGACAAAAAAAAAAAATAAAAATTTTGTCGGAAATTCCGACTTTTTAATAAAAACGGAAACGCCTAGTCATGTCGTCCGCTTACTTTTAATAATAAAAGTCACCGTCCGGACCCGGACTCTCGGGGTTTGAGTCTCACTGAAATTTTACGAGAATTAATCTCACTTAACACGCCACCCGTCGCTTCTTTTCACCATTGTTTTTAGTAGGAGGAGATCCCTTTTTTCTTAGTTTTACTCGAGCACTGCGATTTCGAGCAGTACCTACGCGTTAAGTTATTTAATTACCGGGGAAAAGAAAAGTGGAATGTAATTAGAACTCTAAAAGGAACGAAAAGTCCAAGAGGTAGGACAAAACGAAATTTGCGACACTTTTAAAGCTCACTACGTGTCCTTACGACTTTTAATTTTCTTCTCTACGAAATTTACAATTTCTTCTCACAGAACAATATTAACTAATTTTATTTTTCATTTCAGATTGCTTGGTTAAGAGTTGATACCCAAACCATCTTAACTATTTACATACACGTTATTACGAAGAATCATCGCATCAACGTGAGCCATAGCGAGCACAAAACTTGGTATCTCCATATAAGGGATGTTCGAGAATCCGATAGGGGCTGGTATATGTGTCAGATTAACACTGATCCGATGAAAAGTCAAATTGGATACTTGGATGTTGTTGGTGAGTCTATTTTCTTTCGTTCGGGTGAGATAAATCAAAAAAGAAATTTTAAAACTTATCGAGAAAAGGGAGTCTCCGCTGCAGCTGACGGTAATTCATTTGTATAGCAGAAAATAGTCCCGAAGAATAGCGTTGATCCGACAATTGAAGCGTGCTTGATTTACAGCGTCCTCCTATGATTGTTCACATATCTTTGATTTATACATTTATCCTCAAAAAGAATCTTTATTTTTATTCGTTAAAAAATAATGTTCACTTTTTTAATATAAAAATGAATAAAAAAAATAACTGGTGTAGATGCAAAATTTTGTTCCGTTCTCGAGATAACCAAAGAGTCAATGTCAACTTTAATTTTGTTATTATATTCGTAATCTACATAAAAAACCCTTTAAAATGAGTCCAAACTCGACATATTTAACTTTAATATTAATGGAAATACAATCACTTCCGGTTTGAAACGTCAACGTCAATTTTGACATATTTGTCATCTTCATCAAAAAACCTTTAAAATGAGTCCAAAGATGATGCATTTATCTCAAAAAACAAAAAAGTTAGAATAAAAAACTTTAAACCCGAAGTTAGCAGCAATGAAGATAGCAATTTAATTTTTAAATATTAATACCAACCTTAATTTTTGATTTTTGTTATTATATTTCTGTTTTTGTGACAAATATTAAGACATTTTATAAAAATTAAGAATATGTCAGAATGACATTGACATTTCAAACCGGAAGTTGCTTATATCTCGAGTAATATTGGAATTAAACGTATCATGTGTGGACTCATTTTAAAGTTACAAATATGTCAAAATTGACGTTGACATTCTTAACCGGAAGTTGACCATAACTTCATTAATATTGAAGATAAATATGTCGTGTTTGTACTCATTTTAAAGGATTTTTAATGAAGATTACAAATATGTCAAAATTGAGGTTGACATTTTAAACCTGAAGTTAGTTATCATATAATAGACAAATGGACAACTTCATGGTGTATTCTTTATTAAAAAAAACCTTTAAAATGAGTCCAAATAAGACGAACTGATCTCAAAAAACAAAAAAATTAGAATAAAAAACATTAAACCCGAAGGTAGCAACAATGAAGTTAGCTATTTAATTTTTAAATATTAATACCAACCTTAATTTTTGATTTTTTTTTATTATATTTTTATTTTTGTGACAAATATTAAGATATTTTATAAAAATTAAGGTTATGTCAAAATGACATTGACATTTCAAACCGGAAGTTGCTTATATCTCGAGTAATATTGGAATTAAAGGTATCATGTTTGAACTCATTTTAAAGGATTTTTTACGACGATTACAAATATGTCAAAATTGACGTTGACATTCTTAACCGGAAATTGACCATAACTTCATTAATATTGAAGATAAATATGTCATGTTTGTGCTCATTTTAAAGGATTTTTCATGAAGATTACAAATATGTCAAAATTGAGGTTGACATTTTAAACCTTAAGTTAGTTATCGTATAATAGACAAATGGACAACTTCATGGTGTTCTTTCATGATGTATTCTTTATTAAAAAACCTTTAAAATGAGTCAAAACATGATGAATTTATCTCAAAAACCAAAAAGTTCGAACTTTCAACTTTTAATTTTGACATATTTGTCAACTTCATAAAAAATCCTTTAAAATGAGTCCAAACTCGACATATTTAACTTTAATATTAATGGAAATACAATCACTTCCGGTTTGAAACGTCAACGTCAATTTTGACATATTTGTCATCTTCATTAAAAAACCTTTAAAATGAGTCCAAAGATGACGCACTTATCTCAAAAAACAAAAAAGTTAGAATAAAAAACATTAAACCCGAAGTTAGCAACAATGAAGATAGCAATTTAATTTTTAAATATTAATACCAACCTTAATTTTTTATTTTTTTTTTTTATATTTTTGTTTTTGTAACAAATATTAAGACATTTTATAAAAATTAAGAATATGTCAAAATGACATTGACATTTCAAACCGGAAGTTGCTTATATCTCGAGTAATATTGGAATTAAACGTATCATGTTTGGACTCATTTTAAAGGATTTTTCACGACGATTACAAATATGTCAAAATTGACGTTGACATTCTTAACCGGAAGTTGGCCATAACTTCATTAATATTGAAGATAAGTATGTCATGTTTGTACTCATTTTAAAGGATTTTTAATGGAGATTACAAATATGTCAAAATTGAGGTTGACATTTCAAAAATGAAGTTAGTTATCATATAATAGAAGTTTTATAACTGAAGTTAATCTAGTGTTAGTCATTTTCTTTTGATTCTTAACGTGTTTTTTGGATCATTTCACATTGATTAAAAAAGAATCGTCTATTTGTAAGCCACATGATGATTCTTGAATTTTTCCCAAGTTTCTTAATATTTATTTTGTTAAAAAAGAGCGTTTTTAAATTTTAACCTGTAAACTTGTAACACTTCGTCCTTAATCTTTTTTAACAAAACAAAAAGAAATATTAAGAAACTTGTTTGTAAAATGGATAGGATGAGGGATGTTAATCTATTTGTAGAATCTCTGAAGGTGGCCAAGGGCCGAAACTAGTTAGACTTAAATTCTGTATAAAATATAAACCAGTTGAAAAGTAGAAAACCAAACTCTAGATAATTTTCTTCAAAAATTTTTACACGAAACATCATTTATTGACTTATTTTGATTTACAGAAACATCCTGTATAATCGTAAAACGACTCACCAAGCGGATTCTGTGCTTGTGATGGCTGTCATCAGTGTTCTGTGATAAAAATAGAGAAAATAGACAGAGAGAAGAGTTCAGCTTAATTATTGTACTTTCAGTTGTCAATGTCAACTTTAATTTTGTTATTATATTCGTAATTTTCATAAAATAACCTTTAAAGTGAGTTCAAACTTGACGCCTTTATCTCAAAAAACCAAAAAGTTCGAAGTTTCAACTTTTAATTTTGACATATTTATCAACTTCATAAAAAATCCTTTAAAATGAGTCCAAACTCGACATATTCATCTTTAATATTAATGGAAATACAATCACTTCCGGTTTGAAACGTCAACGTCAATTTCGACATATTTGTCATCTTCATCAAAAAACCTTTAAAATGAGTCCAAATATGATGCATTTATCTCAAAAAACAAAAAAGTTAGAATAAAAAACTTTAAACCCGAAGTTAGCAACAATGAAGTTAGCAATTTAATTTTTAAATATTAATACCAACCTTAATTTTTGATTTTTTTTTATTATATTTTTGTTTTTGTGACAAATATTAAGACATTTTATAAAAATTAAGGTTATGTCAAAATGACATTGACATTTCAAACCGGAAATTGCGTATATCTCGAGTAATATTGGAACTAAACGTATCATGTTTGGACTCATTTTAAAGGATTTTTCACGACGATTACAAATATGTCAAAATTGACGTTGACATTCTTAACCGGAAGTTGACCATAACTTCATTAATATTGAAGATAAATATGTCGTGTTTGTACTCATTTTAAAGGATTTTTAATGAAGATTACAAATATGTCAAAATTGAGGTTAACATTTTAAACCTCAAGTTAGTTATCATATAATAGAAGTTTTATAACTGAAGTTAATAGTGTTAGTCACTTTTCAGCTTTTATTTTTAACGTATTTTTTGGGTTATTTCACATTGATTAAAAAAATCGTCAATTTAAAAAAAGAATAAAAATAAAGATTGTTATTCGTTAAAAAATAATATTCACTTTTTTAATATAAAAAAAAAATAACTGGTGTAGATGCAAAATCCTGTTCCGTTCTCGAAATAACCAAAGAGTTGCAGCTCTCCGACTCTGCTCCGGAGACAAATGCAGTCGTTCAGCTTAATTGTGCAGTTTTCTGGTCGAATTAACAGCCGCTTGCTCGAAGTGCACCTTCTCGTTGCAATCCAACACCCTCAAGCGCACCCTTACCCCTCTTAACCCCCTTACAATCCGAGTCGTTTCGTAATTTTCTAGCGACAGATTTTCTTCTACCAGAAACGACAACCTTAAGATACCTAGAAAGCTCATTTCAAAGTGTTTAAGTCGTAAAAGTTAATTCAAGTAATGTTTTTGTTTCAGTTCCTCCCGATATTTTGGATTATCCGACGTCTACGGATATGGTCGTTCGTGAAGGATCTAACGTAAGTCTTCGATGTGCTGCAACCGGCTCCCCAGAGCCTATGATTGCTTGGAGAAGAGAAGGTGGTGAACCGATTCCTATTGGGAATGGGTTAGAAGGTGATTATATTAAATTTCATTCCCTTGTAAGCTAATTCCGTTTTGCAAAGGCATCCAAAATCAGGGTTGGAAATTCGTAGAACCGTGACGGACGCGTAGCATGGATTTTGCCGAACAGAGAGTATTACTCCTGCTACATTATTGCCCTAGCGAATTAATTATGCAAGGTGATTAATGGACGCTTTGTCCCGTCGCTTTAGTATTAGGGGTAAACAATAGGTGCCAAATTTACAGGTCGCGAATTTTTTTTTATATAACGATAAGAATCTCGACGGTTTTGTTAAAAGGGGGGCCACGCTAACGAAGTGTCTCTCTCTTCCCTTAATCTGAGGTTGAACTTGGTGGTAAAAAGCTCGTCGCTTCGCACCGGAATTGCACCGACACAAAGATAAGGGTTGGTTAATGTCTGTTTCCGGTGTTGAGCAAATTCACCTCGATTCCGGGACCGTAAGAAATTTTAATAGCCAACCGTTTGTTTTGGGCGACACTTTATCGGGAGGTAAAAAAAAATTTTTAAATGATTACAATTTTTTCGTCGTGTATAATATTTGTTAGAGAATCGGGCGGCGGGATTTGGATGGGGGGATTTACAGGCTTGCTTTTGGCACGAAATAATTCCCCCCGTTTTCCCTCACTTCACAAAACGCAAAGCGAGACTGAAAACCGACAGCCGAGAAATCCGACGGATTTAATAAATGCAAATGGGGTCTTAATGAAAAGACTGTCGACTGCTGACTTCGCGTCTAAAACTGTTTTATTTAGTTAAAACCTTTGGTGTTCTCATCATTTTTGATACACCGTAATCACTCTAGTTATTTTTTTTTACATCAAGTTATTTAAATCCATTTTTTTTTATAATACAGTAAAGCTTCGTTATAACGCTAGTTAGCACTAGATAGCGCTAGGTTATACAGGTGTCCGGAAATGACGTGTACAACTCAAGACCACAAGTACCTTAACAAAAAATATGATGATTTAATTCAACTTATCTATACAGGGTGTCCCGTTAAGCGTACGGAGCGACTGTATCTCTAGAACGGTAAGGCCTAGAGGTTTGGGAAAAAAGCAAGCAGCTTTCCTTATAAGCAAAGTGACCAAGAGAAATAGCTGGAAATTATTTTGAAGTTCGTAATTCGACCGCTAGGGGGCGTAACTGCCATTAAGAAACATAAAGTTCTCGCTATCTCAGAANGGATTTAATAAATGCAAATGGGGTCTTAATGAAAAGACTGTCGACTGCTGACTTCGCGTCTAAAACTGTTTTATTTAGTTAAAACCTTTGGTGTTCTCATCATTTTTGATACACCGTAATCACTCTAGTTATTTTTTTTTTACTTCATGTTATTTAAATCAATTTTTTTTATAATACAGTAAAACTTCGTTATAACGCTAGTTAGCACTAGATAGCGCTAGGTTATACAGGTGTCCGGAAATGACGTGTACAACGCAAGACCACAAGTACCTTAACAAAAAATATGATGATTTAATTCAACTTATCTATATACAAAATTGCTTAGTTTAGCCTCTAGATGGCTTTAAAAATAATATATTTTTTTAAATAAGTCGAATAATCCTCGATAGATTTTACTCATTTTATGGTTTGTGGAATAAACTCTAATTTCAAAAATTATAGGGTGTTTAAAAACTTTGTTACAATAATTTATGCATCTTTTTAACCCCCTGTTACATTGCATTACATTACATAGAATATATATCGGGTAGGCGGACCAACCAACCTTGCACCGCGACCCTAAGGATCTATTGTACCCCGATAGATATCGTTATCAAATTTCACCGTGCAGTCCAATGCTCTTAACGAACATTAATACCTTGCTCGGCGAAAGGTCATTCAGATCTTTTGAGGAGATAAACTGCGACCCAAAAATCGAGAATCTGATACGGTTAACGGCAGGGCAGTGGCATAAAACATGCTCAACCGTCTCTGCTTCCTCCGCACATAGTCGGCATTCAACATCGTCGGCTAAACCCAACAAGTTGAGGTGTGCTTTTAATCGGCAGTGCCCAGTAAAAACACCCATTAGAACTTTTATGCTACTACGGGCAAGTCCTAAAATATTCCCGGGTTTGACAGTGGCGATGTTAATAAACACCTTAGCATGTCTCATTCCAGGAGAACTGGTCCACAGTAGGCGAAGTCTCTCTTCAGCCCACAGTCCAATCCTATATTTGGCCATCGCAAATGATACACCAACTGC